AAGTGATAAAATCATGAATTTAACACCCACTGAATATGCCTGAAATGCTAAATCAGCGAAATTTAAACCCAGTGAAAATTAATAATTCTACAGTTCACACTATAGGCTTGAGCCATTTACAACAAATTGTTCACTAAGATTTGAGGGGATTGATTACCATAAAGCATTTGTATTATGAGTTTGCACTTTGTACTTCGGTATGTGTAATTTTGTAGGGTTTTTTACCCAATATTAAATGCAGATACACATTGGCAAAGAATAAATGACTGTTCCAGCCATTGTGGGCTTTGACAAATCGCTAAATTTAAAATAACACAGCTTTCTTAGATTTTGCCGAATACTCCATCACAGATCAAGTCAATTATCACATGAGATTGTTAGCATTCAGGGTAAATTACATCAAGTGTAATCAAATCAAGTGTCTATTAGTTGAAGAATTAGGCCACATTTGTTACAAGCAAACTTTCAAACTGTTTTTCATATTAGGAAAAACAGAGAAAGGCTGCAGAAGAAATCCAGGAACAGAAACAAAGGGAGCAACAAGCAGAGCAGGAATGGCACGAGAAACTGGTAGGTGAATGGCAAGATGAAACAAGCTATGAAGATTACACCCATCACTTTTCGGAAGGTAATTATTTCAAATCAGATAATTACATATAATATTACAGTTTGTTTGAGTTCTGTTCATGTGTATGTGTGTGTTTGTGAAAGGTGTCAACTGTGGACATTGTGTTTCATTTATACCAACCAACCGAGGACATATACATCAACCGAGGACCTTTTTCATAGTCCTTGGTTAACATAATTTATATTAATGGTTAATTTGATTATTAATGTTTTCTCGGGATATTTAACTTTTATATAATTAAACTCCAATTAAAACGCAACCCTATAGGAACGCATTTTAATCGAGTTCATATCGCAATTACATTAAAAGTTAATTCAACTATATTAAAGTTAATTCAACTATATTAAAAGTTAATCAAATGAAGTCCTTGGATCACACAAAATACGAGAATATGCGTGTATGCTGAGTGTTGTGACCACGTCAGCAAATGCCAAAATGTGTGTATGTGAATGGCGGGAATCTGCCGATATTCGGCATATGCAGGGAAATTTATCTTGATTTCAATAGAGAGCCAGGATCTGACATATGCCAAGATTGCCATGTCCTAACACTAAGCATGAGCTGAAATCACGCTTTTGGTGGTGAACTTAAAAAACAAATATTAATTAATTCCATTTACATGGCAATGGAACAGTGAGTAGCTAGCTTGTAGAAAAAATGATACTATAAAACATGTTGAAAAAGCGGCATGCAATTTTAGCGAATTGTGGTAAAATGACGTAACTAATAGTGAAATGTTGACTTAGCGAATCTCTCTTGTCATTGTTGATTTCCTGTTTTCACAATACTTGTCTGTCACGTGCCAAAACAAATGTGCAGTTATCACCTCCATAAAAACAAAGAAAAACTGTCAAGTGAAATTAGGAATCGCCCCAGATTTCTATGTTCCGGATTACTGTATACAAATCCCCAAGCCTTGGCTATTTTGAATTTATAATAAAGACATTAGTGACATCTTGAATTAGCGAATTAGCTCGCGAAAAAGACATGTTTTACAGTATACTTATCAGTATATTAAGAAAATATGACATGAAATGAAAATTATTGCATTTTGTAAAAAATTTATATAGGAATTCATGTTTTAAGCATTATTCCAAATTAATATGATAAATATAGTATTCCTAATAATTCATGACAACTATATTTCATATAACATGCTATATTTCTGAAATCAAGATACCATTTTTGTTCATGATTTTTGTCGCATACATCCAAGTTTGTTTGTAGTAATATCTTTTATGAATGTATTAAATACTGTTAGAGACAAAGAACTATACAAAGCATAAATCCTGTACCTACTAAACTATGGTTTCATGCGATGTGTCATATGTGTAAAATTTACTGGTGTGTATTATTGTTTAATTATATGTGCATATAATTGCATTGAATTATGCTGGCACTTATCAATGTCAATTATCCCTGTGTTACACAAATTGTGTAATTTTAAATTAGTTAAGAACCTGCACACACTGGTGAAAATACTATGAGGTTATTACGAGG